GCGCGATGGCGACAGTTCGCCCTCTCGCGCGCGTCTCCGCCTCGAACGACCTGGCGAGTGAAAAGTCTGCGCCGCGCCCGAGCGGGCCGGCCCCTTTCTGGTCAATCGGTGCGGCGCCAAGGCGGAAACGACGTTTCGCTCGCGCAAGCCACAAATGTGCGTTGCGCCGAAATTGGAGCTCACTTCTGAAAAATGAACGCGGAGGCCGAGGCGAGAGCGGCATTTGGATCTTTCGCGCGCGACGCGCGCCCCGTCCCGCTACTGCCATGCCTCTGGCAATGTCTCCGCGAACACGTCCATGGTGAAAGGCAAGCTGTAGACTTCGTACCGGTTTTTCAGGGGTCGGATGGACCCCCCCAGGATGGCATCGCTAACGGACGGCTGAGGAGGAGGAGGAGGAGGCTGAGGAGGAGGAGGAGGAGGAGGAGGAGGAGGGGGAGGGGTAGTATGTACTAATGAGGAATATGGATGCAAGCAGGCTGAGGAAGAGGTCGACGAGGGAAGCGTTTTTTTTGTTGGGAAGTGATGGTGGGAGAGAGGAGGGCCAGGAAGCAGAGAGGCGTGGACAGAAGAGGGAGGAACGAGGAGGGAGGGAGGAGGAGGAGGAGGAGGAGGAGGAGGATGACAGTGTCGACAAAACCAGGGCCTCTTGTGAACTCGCCTGGCAGATGCATTACACAGGCAGCCTCAGCTTCGCGAGCCTGGAGACGAGCCCGAAGGGTGTCCATCCCAGGAGAACATATGACACCGGGGGGAGTAGCTGAGACGAGCTCTTGGCCCCGTCCGCCCCCGATTCCCTTCTTTCAGGCGCAGATCGGCTTAGGAGGCGAAGGCCTCTTTCGTGGCGCCTTCGGCTCTGCGGGTGCGAACCTGTCTGAAACCTTCGAATCTTGTGGGCTCGGGGGCGTGACATGGCGCTCGCGCCGCTTGACCAGAGAAAGTCCAGTGCGCTGCTCAGCAAAAGCTCCGCACTGCACACACTCATAAGCCAAACGACGAGAGCGCGCCGTACAAGCAGCCCACACACTGACGGTGCTCACTGTCGGTGCCACGCAGTTGGAGGAGGAGAGCAGCATGCCCTACTGCCTCAAAAACCAAGTCCGAACTAGCTATGGACACGCGAAAGCACGGAGCATACTCATCATACGCTCGCCCACAGCAGGTCACTCGCGCCACGATATTTCATGGGTAATGCTCGGTATCATGCGTCGTCAGCGGCAGAGTACTGGCCACTGGGCTGAATGGGAAGATATCATCGTCGACGTTTTCGGGGTAGAATGGCGAGCAAAACGGGATACTTGTACAACGGTTGCTGATTGGATGAAGCTTTGACCAGACTTTGAAACCCAGACCTGCACCCGTTGGAAACTGTGCAGGCCGAGGGAGCAGGAGGAAGACGACGAACAGCTCGTAGGGCCACCGCCTGTGCGCCGATCCCAGACAGATCACCACAGCCTCGACGGCTTGCCGGCCACGCATGTCGAGTCCGCTCTGGCGATGCACACGGCCGGACCCGAACGGCATCCATGTTTCGTCAGAGATTGCGAACCCCTGGCGAACGTCATCAACGGCGACGCGGTTCTGCTCAATCCTGACCTTCTTCCACTCTTCACCCGTGTGTCCGCAAAACTGTTTGCTATGGTGAATAATGGTTGGATGACGAGCCAGCCCGAGTTGAACCTTGTGCAGTGGCGCTGGCGATGCTTCAATAGGATAGCCAATCACATTGCGAATCACACCATGGATATCCAGCGTTCATGGTCTCAGAAATTTTGTACCTTCTGTGGGCAAAGTGTCTGTGCAGTAAGCAACCGATGTCATCCATACTGATGGGGGGACCCGTACAAACAAGTGTTCATCAGCAGCGTGGTTTTTAGAAGCCCATGTGCTGCTTCCGATAGGGACAGTGCCGTATCCGATCTGAATGGCGGGACCATTTATCAGCACACCAATACCTTCCTTTACGGCCGAGGCCATAGCATTGGAGGAAGCAGTGGACTTGATATAGGATCTCTTGAGAACGTGATCATGGGGTGTTGACTTTGCAACGTCAGTAACATGCCAGTGCAGCCTCGCCTCATGCCTCCAGAAAGAAAAAAAAAACACTGACCACCAGAATGGCAACGTTCCGCAGCATCTCGGCCATCAGGCTCCTGAGCTGCTCGCCCAAAGGGGTACCCTGGGGGTAGCGCCAGTGGGCGTCTTTAGCAAGACGGTCGGCGTCTTCTTTGACCAGAGCAATTCTTTGGCCACGTGGAGCAAGAACCCGAATCACCTCATCCGACCTATGTGCACGCGCACACAGTCAACCCGCACAGGAAGGATGGGCAACCTTCCCAAAGGTACCCTTGCATCCTTGCCTCCTCGGTCCATCCTTGGCCACTTTCGTTGGCCGCGCCTCGCTCGAAAAGTTTTGAAATCGGCGTCCAAGGCCCTTGCATCCCTATCGCGCATCCTTACTAGAATGGTTGACTGTAGTCAACGCGCCTAGTGTGCTCGGGCCCTGGGCCCCTGCCCCGCCTGCGCCTCACGCCGGAGCCCGGCGAAGATCTTGGCCGACGCAAGCTGCGCCGCGTTGGGGTCGTTGCGCACGCGCAGCATCCAGGCAGTCGGAAGAGGGCCGTGCGGGGCCCGCCCAGAGACGAGCCAGAACAGCCAGGGCGCCATGCTCGGCGGCCGGAGCAGTCCGAGGGTGGCTGCCCCGCACGCCCCCTCGGAGCCTCCGTTCGAGACGAGCGGCGACACACCAGGCCTCACCGAGCACATGAGCACCAGTGAGCATCACACCTCGCGGCGCTGCCGCCCGTGCAGACGTCGCAATCGAGGGGGAGGTGGGGGAGGGACGGGGGACGCAGAACGATCGATGCAGACCTCCCAGATGCGGTCGGAGTAGACGGGGTCGGAGGATCGCGCCGCATCGCCGATGCATCGGCCATGCGGTTCGGTGTCGCCGATGCGGCGCGATCCTCCGACCCCATCCGCTCCGACCCCATGCAGGAGGCCTCTGGGCAGGGACGGAGGAAGTAAGACGAGGAGGGGGGAAGGACGACGGGGCAGGAGGGGAGGGGACGGGCTGGCATGGTAGGGGACACTGGCCGCTGGCCGCGCCAACGACCCCGCGGCGCGGCTCGGACGTGGCACGTGTTCATCAGTTTGCGCTTAAAAGAGGGCGCGCGCGCCGCCGCGGGCGAGGACGGGCGGACCAGAAGGGCGGCATGGGGAGGATATTTTTTGGAGGAGGAGAGGGGAGGGATCAGCGGGATCACTGCGGCCTCAGTCGGGAAATCGACGCGCCGAGAGGGGGGGGGGGGGGGGGGGGGGGGGGGGGGGGGGGGAGGGAGGGAGGGATCCGGGAGGGAGGAGGGGAGGGAGGAAGGGAGGTAGGAGGAAGGAAGGGAGGGAGGGAGGGAGGGAGGAAAAGGAGGAGGAGGAGGAGGAGGAGGAGGAGGAGGAGGAGGAGGAGGAGGAGGAGACGGAGGAGTAGGAGGGCGAGGAGGTGGAGGGGGAGGGGAAGAGGGAGGGGAAGGGGAAGTCGTCCGCATCATATGCGATAGAAGGGCACTGAAGTCTTGGCGCGCACCACTGTCGAGCCCTCGCCGGCAGAATGCCCATGCTGCGCTGAAGGATCTGGACCGTGGCAGGAGGTGGCACGCGGCCTCGACTCCAAAGAAGATTGGGCTAGCTATGCCGACTGACTTCTCTGCGTGGTGGATTGCCAGCTTTTGCGGCGAATAGTTTGCGGACACAGGCCCATTCGCCGCGACGAATTTCGACTCTTGTTCAAGTGGGTTACACAGACAATCATCAACATCCTTGGCGCAGGGCGGCTTCCGCCGCACGACCACGGCGACCCAGTCAGGTGGATGGACAGGTGCCGCAACATTTTCGTTGATTATGTGTGTAACGCCACCATGGACAGGCAAACCTCGTGGCGGGCACCATGTCGCAAAGGGCGGGCCAACCTATTGGCATTTTCTGACGGAGGCTCTTGGCAAATAATGCTCGGCCAGTTTGTGGGCGCTCGGTACCGTGACCGAGGCTGGATACGAGATTGTGGTGTTTGCCGGAGTCTTTCATCAGCCGCCCACCCGTTTTTTTCATGGCGGAGGCCATCGCTCTGGACGGCGCTCTGGACGAACCCCTGGCGAGGGCAGGCGAAGGCCGGTGATCTCATGAGAAGTGAGCGCGACGTTGCACCTCGGAGGTGATGTCGTCCAGAACCATGCGGGCTCGAATTTCACCCTCGTCTTCCTTCCTCCTCCTTGTCCCGCCCTTCATTTTGCGTGCTTGATCATCCTTGCTCTCGCTGCGCACTGTCCTGGGGTATCACTTGTCACATGTTGCGATCTTGTAGCATCAGGGGTCGCTTCGTGAACTTTTGTCCGCCACGCGGAACGAAGCGAAACGAATGGCAAGGAGGAGGGCGCAAGGCGCAAGGCTCAAAGGGTTGCCTGCGTCCTGGAGGCCGCAGCCCGCAGAGGGAGGGACTGGCCGCAGGGCCACGAAAACCGAGTGCACGTCCGCGTGTGCAGAGCGTGGTGGGCGGGCGGGAGGGGGGGGGAAGGGCGTACGGCGCGCGTGTCGAATGTACTTCGGCAGCGAGCGAAGGGGAAGTGAGAAGGGGCGGGCCTTCTCAGAAGGCTCGGAAGTTCCCCGGCCTTCGGAGAAGTTTTCTATACCTTCCCGGGAAACACGAAGAACTTCTCAGATTGCGCGAGGGTTTCTGAGAAGTCCCGTCGCCTTCGGAGAAATCCTTCTCCTTCTCATTTCCCCCCTCGCTCGCGGCCAAGTACTTGGCCGGAGGGATGGGGGGGGGGCGTGCGGCGCGCGTGCCGAGTGTGCTGGGCGGGCGGGCGGGCGGGCGAAGGGGGGGGGGGCAATCGTTCGGTGCGTGTTGGGCGCCGAAGGCCCGAACAAACCGATCGGGGACTGGCCGGGCCAGCGACCGCAACCACGAGCGGCGGCGTCGGCGACGGGGCGGCGCCGCCCCGCGGGTGTCGCGGCTCGCAGGACACGGCCCAGTCAGCCGGCGCGTACCTTGCCACTGCGGCCCGCCCGTCGGCCGCCGCCCCCCCCTCCGCTCCAGCAGCCATGGTGCAGCGCCTGACGTACAGGAGCCGCTCGGCCCTCTGGGCCGGGCGCGGCGGCGACGGCGGCGGCGGCGACGTGGATGACGGCAGGCGGGCGGCGCCGCCCGCCAGCGTGGCCTGCCAGTACAACGGCGTCAACCGCATCGACCCTGGGGCCGCCCCAGGGTCGACGTGCAGCTGCTGCTTTTGCGCGGTCCCAGGTGCAGCGTTTGTGCAGTCGTCGTCGTCTCGAGGCCGCTCCTCGGGCCCTGGGGCCAGCAGGAGCCATCGGAGACGAGAGACCTGTTCCTGGGGAGGGGTCGAGGGCCACAGGGACTCAGCGTTGAATGACTCACGGCGTCGACTGTCTGTTCCCAGCCCTCTTGGGTGAAGTTGTACACTCGGGTCGAATTTGCAGCCCCGCGCCTTCCGCTTCCTCAGCCTCCTCCTCCTCCTCCTCCTCCTCCTCCTCCTCCTCCTCCTCCTCCTCGGCTCCATCGTTTGAGCCACCCCTCTTTACGGCTCGGCGCCGTCGCGCCTGACAACAGCGACGGGGCAGCTCCCTCTTGGCCCACCCGGGACTGGTGTGACTGGCAGCCCGCGAAGCAGCCCGAGGCATATGTTCCGTCTCGCCGTGGTTTCTCAGGGTTTGGTTTGCCCCCAGTGCGAGCCCGCGGGTGGCGGTGCGCGCTAGCGTTGCATCGGCGGACGCCGCTACGTTCTGAGAGAATCAAAAATTGCTCAAACAGTACTCCACGAGTATTCTTGGCACATCGTTGTTCGAATACTCCGCACACTGTTCTGGAGTTGTTTTGATTACGCCGACGTGCTGCGGAAAGGGGCGATTCCTCAGACTCCGATTCGGATCCCTCAGGCGGCTCCGAATTCTGGATGGGCTCCCTTCGGCCGCCGATGGGAGCTGCGCCGTCAGGCCACCTCCCTCCCTCACCCTTTCTCAACCTCCTGCTCCTTCTGATCCTCTGGCTCTTCCTCCTCCTTACCCCCATCTCCTCCTCCTCCTCCTCCTCCTCCTCCTCCTCCTCCTCCTCCCACTTCCCCTTTCCCTTCCCCTACCCATCTCCCCTTCCTTCTTTTTCTGTTCTTTCTCCTTCATCTCCTGCTTCTCCTCATACCCTCTCTCGTGCCCTCTCTCGTGCTTCCCTCCCTCCTCTCCCACTCCCTCCTCCCTCCTGGTCCTGCTTGCCCTCCGCCTGCTCCTCCTTTTTTTTATATTTTTTATCAGATCTGATTCGTGGTAGTGTCAGGACGATCCTGGAAGCCACTGCGTCACCCTTCTCCTCTTCAGCCTTCCATCGACCCGGAGGAAGCATATCCGCTACAACACCAAGGGCAACAAGCAGCGGAAGGTCAAGACCCCCGGTGGCAAGCTCGTATTCCAGCAGCTGAAGAAAAAGGCTTGCCCTGCTCTTCTTTAGGTCCACCTCATTCTGCTTCTCCCCTCCTCATCTTCCTCTTCCTCCTCCTCCTCCTCCAGCTCCTTCCCCTTCCACCTCTGCGTTCCCCTTCTTCTCTGCCCCTCCGCTTCCTCCTCCTCCTCCTTCTCCTCGTCGCCTCCCTCCTTCTCCTCCTCCCCTCCTCCTCCCCCTCCCCCTCCTCCTCCTCCTCCTCCTCCTCCTCCTCCTCCTCCTCCTCCTCCTCCCCCTTCTTCTTCCTCCATCGTCCATCCTCGCCTCTTCCGCGCTCCACCCTTTCCTGTCCAAGTTCTTCGTCCTACTATTCATCATTCCCTCCTTCACGACCTTCCTCCATCCTCTCCTCCTTGTCCTCCTCATCCTCATCCCCCGGCTTGCACCGTGGCCATGATTTTGGCGCCGGGCATGGCACGCCCCCCGAGCCCCGCGGGGTTAACCACAGGCGGTGGCGGTGTGCCCACACAGGTACTACATGCGTGATGCTGGATGTTTGACGGATGGTTGTGTTCTGCGCTCGATGGTCGCGCTGTTATTTCGAGTGGCAAACCATGTGCACAGAGTTGGTCGTGCGCTCGTTTTTCGTCATTATGATGCATATTTTCGGTGCCTCTTCCAGCTCTGCCCGCAAGCGGGTCTGCGCGCACCGTCGGCTACCGGGCGTTTCAGGCCCAATCTGTGGCTGTGTCGAGCCAAGCCGCTTCGGCTGGAAGTCCCGACACCTTGCGACGCCCATGAGAGGCCGAGGAATTGGCATTGTGGCAAGCGCGGGAACGTCTTTACACGGCGGCGTCTGTGACCAGGAGGCCTTCTGGGGCCCCGATACCGCCTCCAAGAGGTTGCGCTCGCACTGTCCAGTGCTTCGCCCTGAACGGGCCGCGATGTTGTTGTCCCACCTCCTCCCCTTCCCTCTCGTCTTTGCAGATTTTGATTCCGAGTTTTCGGCCCCGACCGATCCGAGCTGAGCGCCTGCATGGTTGCTTCTTTCCCGATTGTGCCGATGCTGTTACCGACCTGGTGGGTGCGATCACAATCCACCTTCGAGCTGTCAGACTATGTTGTCCCGCGGCCGCATAGCCGTTCGTAATGTGATGCGCGTCTACAGGACCGCGATTGTCCGTCGCGAGAATTGGGTCAGCAAATGAGCGCTCATAGCAGCCAGTGTCCAAACCTGTTTACGCAGTTCAGGGGAAGTCCATTCCCTCCGCCCCTCTCCATCGCATCCTTCTCCCATCGTATGGTCTGCCCCATATTTGACCATTCTGTTCGGGCCTCGGGTGAAGCCCAGACGATGCCAGACCAAGACCCGACGTACCCAGCGAGTGTGCTTCCCTGTTGTTGTGGTGCTCACGGTCTGCAGCGCGGGGAGGGGCGCGGGTGGCCTGGGAGGGAAGGGGTATGAGGATGTGCCGAATCCGCCGGGCAGCCAGGCAGGGCAAACACAAGGATTCTACGATTCTTTGACAACCTGCGTTGTACACGATAATGGTAGTGAACCCCAAAATCGTGCATTTTTAGCAGTGTGTGTTGTGCAACCTGGGTCGGGCAACCTAATGGTTCAATCTACGTGCTGCAATCTATGATGTGAGGAGATGTATGGTATGCAATATCTGTTGTGCAATCTAGGTGTTGCAGTCTATGTGGTGCAATCGGTTGTGTGCAATATTCGTTGTCTATGCTGCTGCCACATTTATGGTGCAACCTTTATTGTACAATCTATGTGGTGCAGCCGGTGCGGTGCAGGTAATCAATGCTCAACTGGAAGTTGTCCACTCCACTTTTCGCGCAAACATCCCACCCACCCACCCGCAACATGGTTTGCAAACCCCATGCGGCGGCGACTGCGAGGATTGCTTGACGCTGGCTGGTACATCTCTGCGGCCGCGACAGCCCGCGCATGCACGCGCGCGCAGCGGCCAACTACTTTGTCGCGACCGACACAGCCGCGGTGGCGGTGACCGCTGGGCACATCCAGCGGGCATTTCAATGCGAGTCGGCGGCTTCAGCGGGCGCGGAATCATGGCAACGTCGACAACGGTAGACACGATGATTGATGGTGTGCCATTTTATCGTTGTCACGATCGTAGCCAGCCCCATCTCAAGTTTTTGGCTCAGGGTTGAGCCAGGTGTGATCGTTCCGCCCACCCAGCTTTCGCCGCACGTGCTGGGTTTGCGGGCTCCCTCCTCGGCGGCCTCTCGGGACGCCCCGCGCCGCTGGGGGCTGGCTGGTCGGGCTTCTGCCCCTTGCCGGCGCGGCGCTGCTCCTGCGAGACGCCCTCGGGGCGGCGTCGGCTGTGGCGGGCGCCCCTCCTGTGCGCGGGCTGCCTGCTCTGGGCGCTGGTGGGCCTCCGAGTCCGGGGAGCGGTTCAGGACTTCAGACGCCCGACGAGAGTGAGGTCTGGCGGTCTCGAGGTTGCCGCAAGTGATGGCGGCCCGCCCCGGCAGCCTCGCCCCGGGCACCGACAACCCGCAGGTGGCCATCGACTTCCGGGACGACGACCACCTCACGTGGCACCGCCGCCTGGTCCTCGGCAGGGTGGGCGACGGCACGAAGTGGGTCGCTCTGACTCCGGTGCAGCTGCAGGCCCTCGAGCAGCCACAATCTGACTATTCCTCCGCCCGGGCGTCCGCCCGGGCACCCGGACACCCGGGCGCCGGCCCGGACACCCGGAAACCCGGGCACCCGGGCACCCGGACACCCGGACACCCGGACACCCGGACACCCGGACACCCGGACACCCGGGCACCCGGACGCCCGGACGCCCGGACGCCCGGGCACCCGGGCACCCGGACACCCGGACACCCGGACACCCGGGCACCCGGGCACCCGGACACCCGGACACCCAGGCACCCGGACACCTGGACACCCGGACACCCGGACAACCGGACACCCGGGCACCCGGGCACCCAGACGCCCGGACACCCGGGCACCCGGACACCCGGGCACCCGGACACCCGGACGCCCGGACACCCGGACAACCGGACACCCGGACACGCGGACATCCGGGCACCCGGACGCCCGGACGCCCGGACGCCCGGACGGCCGGACACCCGGACACCCGGACACCCGGACACCCGGACACCCGGACACCCGGGCACCCGGGCACCGGGGCACCCAGACGCCCGGACGCCCGGACGCCCGGACGCCCGGGCACCCGGACGCCCGGACGCGCGGACGCCCCGACGCCCGGACACCCGGACGCCCGGACACCCACGCACCTGGGCACCCGGGCACCCGGGCACCCGGACACCCGGGCACCCGGACGCCCGGACGCCCGGACACCCAGGCGGCACCCAGGCGCGGGCACCCGGGCACCCGGACGCCCCAACACCCGGGCGTCCGGGCACCCGGACACCCCGACACCCAGACATACACCCTGGCACCCTGGCACCCAGGCACCCGGCCGGGCACGGGGAAGATTCAGACGAAGATGTGGGTGAAGGAGGAGGAGGAGGAGGAGGACGAGGAGGAGGAGGAGGAGGAGGAGGAGGAGGAGGAGGAGGAGGAGGAGGAAGAGGAGGAAGAGGAGGGGGAAAACGGACAGACATAATAGCCTCCGCGGATGTCTGGAGCGTCTGGGAGGCATCTTGGGTGCTTCGGGGATCCTCCTGACGCCTCTTGGGGGCCTCTTGGAGGTCTCTTGGGAGCCTCTTGGAGGCTTCTTAGGCGCCTCTTGGGCTCCTCTTGGAGCGCTCTTGGGAGCTTTAGGGACGCTCTCCTCGAGAGAAATACTGTCGGTTTCGATCCCGTCATTGAGTATAGCAATGGTATCAGCACGAGTATACTACCACTTTAAACACCACTCGTAGTAGTCCGGGCAGTGGAGCAGCACTCCCGCCGCGAAAACAACGTCGTCGTCGCCGCCGCCGCCACCGCCGCCGCCACCGCCGCCGCCGTCGCGACGTCGTCGTCGTCGTCGTCGTCGTCGTCGTCGTCGTCGTCGTCGTCGTCGTCGTCGTTATCGTCGTCGTCGTCGTCGTCGTCGTCGTCGTCCTCGTCGTCCTCGTCGTCGTCGTCGTCGTCGTCGTCGTCGTCGTCGTCGTCCTCGTCGTCTTCGAGGATGTCAGGTTTCTGAATGTTTTGGGCCCCCGCTGGGCTTCAGAGGCGTTCCGAAGGTGCCCAGGGACTTGTGGGGACTTCCGGAGACTTCCGGCAGTCCGGCATTTTTTGGATAGTGTGCGAACCATTCGATTTCGTCCTGCTGTTCTCTCTCCGCTGCCGGCGCCGGCGCCGCCGCCGCCGCCGTCGTCGTCGTCGTCGTCGTCGTCCCGCTCGTCGTCGTCGTCGTCGTCGTCGTCGTCGTCGTCGTCCCGCTCGGCCGGCCCGCCGGCCGCCTCGGCTCGCCTCGGCTCGGCCTGCGAAGGATGATGATGATGATGATGATGATGATGATGATGATGATGATGATGATGATGATGATGATGATGATCATGATGATGAGGAGAAGGAGGAGGAGGAGGAGGAGGAGGAGGAGGAGAGCGAGGAGCCGGGGGTGGAATTTGACGCAAGGGGAGGGCGGCGGGGGAGGAGGAGGAGTGGGAGGAGGACATGGAGGAGGACGGGGAGCAGCAGGCGTTCGCAACCCGCATCTCGGGCTGCATGCCGGCGAACAGCATCCAGGGAGAAGGCGAGGGCGAGGAGCAGGAGGAGGAGGAGGAGGATGAGGAGGAGGAGGCCCATTTCGCGTGAGACATCCTCGGAAGTCTGGGTTCAGAGACGTCGCGACTTGAGATGATCTGGGCACCCTCGCCTCGGACATCCTCACCACTCTGGGTTCGCAAATGCGGGTCTCGAAGTGTTTCGGCTGGCTCCGCGTGAGACATCGTCGGCGCTCTGGAGTTCGATATGCTTTGACATGAGGTGATCTGGCCAATGTCGCCTGAGACATCTTCGCAATTCTGACCTCGGAGATGCCCTGCCCCATGGTGTTTCGGCCACTTTCGCCGGAGACATCCTCGCAACTCTGGGTTCCGAGACGCCCTGAGCTGAGGTGGTCAGACCATTTCCGCCAGAGACATCCTCGCAACTCTGACCTCAAAGATCTCCTGCCCCATGGTGGTCCGGCCACTGTCGCCTGAGACATCCTCGCAAGTCTCGATTCCGATATGCTTTGGGCTCAGGTGGTCAGGCCACTGTCGCCAGAGACATTCTCGCAACTCTGATCTCGGATATGCTCTCCCCCATGGTGGCTCGGCCTGTCTAGCCTGAGACCCTCGCAACTCTGGATTCCGAGATGCCATGAGCAGGTGGTCAGGCCACTGTCGCCTCAGACATCGTCGCAACTCTGACCTTGAAGACGCCCTGCCCCATGGTGGCCTGGCCACTTTCGCTTGAAACATCCTCGCAACTTTGGGTTTTGAGACGCCCTGGGCTGAGCTGGTTTAACTGTTTTCGCCAGAGACATCCTCACAACACTGACCTCGATGATGTCCTGCCCCATGGAGGTCCGGCCACTTTCGCTTGAGACATCCTCGCAAGTCTCGGTTCCGAGATGCCCTGAGTTTAGGTGGTCCGTCCACTGTCGCCTGAGACATCCTTGCAACTCTGATCTCGGGTATGCCCTGCTCCATGGTGGTTCGGCCTCTCTCGCTTGAAACCCTCGCAACTCTGGTTTCCCAGAAGCCCTCAGCAGGTGGTCGGGCCACTCCTTCATGAGACATCCTCGCAACTCTGGGTTCCAAGACGCCCTGAACTGAGGTGGTTTACCCATGTTCGCCAGAGACATCCTCACAACTCTGACCTCGATGATGTCCTGCCCCCTGGTGGCCCAGCCACATTCGCCTGAGACGACATCCTCTCAATCTTTCCAGAATTTCTCCCGGTCGTGGCCTAGCATAGCGTCCCGGTCTTGGCTTGCACTGTAACTCTACGTGTACATATATACATACATACACTTTTTTACGTTCATACGTGTATACATATTCCGCAATCAGAGCTTGCCTCCGCAGGGGTCCTAGCGGATTCCCATGGTTAGGTGAACCGGGCCGCCGATTTCGGTGGCCGGGCCCAGATGCCCGGGGGTGCCGTACAACCCCATAGCCATATATCCCCATCAATCCAATTAGCCCAAGTGGTCCCATTAGGCCAATTTGCCCATAAACCCAATAGCCAAATAGCCAATCAGCCTATAGCCCTCTAGCCCTATAGCCCTATCGCCCTATAGTCCAAAAACCCTCAAGCCTAGTAGCCCTATAGCCTTATAGCCCTATAGCCATATAGCACGATATCCCTATAGCCATATAGCACAATAGCCCATATAGACTTATAGCCCTATAGCCCGATAGCCCTGTAGCCCTATAGCCCTTTGCCCGTATAGCCCTATAGCCCTATAGCCCTGTAGCCCTATAGCCCTATAGCCCTATAGCCCTATAGCCCTATAGCCCTATAGAGTATGTATCATTTATAGCCCTATAGCACCGCCAAGCCCTGTTGCCCATCGCCCTATAATCCCTAGAACCCCATAAGCCCTATACCACTCAGCCCTATAGCCCTACAGACCTACGCCCATTAGCCCTATAAACTCCATAGGCCCCTATAGACGTATAGCCTATAGCCCTATACCTAATAGCCATTTTTTTGTCATTATTTATTTTCTCTATTTTCTAGTTTCTTTTATACGTCCGCTTTTTTTTTTTTTTTTTTTTTATATTTTTTTTTTTTTCTTTTTTTTTTAATATTTATTTTCCTTTTATTTTTTTTTTTCTTTTATTTTTTTTTACTTTTTTTAGTTTTTTTTTTAATTCTTTTTTTTTTTTATCTTTTTTTATCTCGTATTTATTAGCCCCATAGCCCCATAGTCCTACAGCCCTATAGCCCTATAGCCCTAGCCCTACAGCCCCATAACCCTATAGCTCGATAGCCCTATAACACTTTAGCCATATAGCGCTAGAGTCCTATAGCCCCATAGGCAAATAACGCTATAGCCATTTAGCCATATAGCCCTATGGCCCTATACCCCCATAGACCTACAGCCCGTTAGCCCTATGGCCCTACAGCCTTATAGCTTTATATACCTTATAGCCCTATAGCCAAATATCCCTATAGCCCGATGGCCCAATAGCCCTATATCCCTATAATTAGCCATGTTTCCATGTTGCGATACAGCCCCATAGCTCAATAGCCTTATAGCCCCATAACAACAAATATGATTGTTTCTTTTCTCTGGTGTTCTATACTCATTTTTGGGGCCTACATACACTTTCGCATTGGGGCATCAGGGAGCCTGAACGCCGTCGCAACAGGGCGCCCGGACACCTGGACACCCAGACGTCCGGGCACCCGGACACCCGGACACCCGGACACCCGGGCGCCTGGAGTTTTTTTCTTTTTTTTTTTTTTTTTTTTTTTTTTTTTTTTTTTTTTTTTTTTTTTTGTTTTTTTTTTTTTATTTTTTTTTTTGGGTTTTTTTTGTCTGTTTTTTTTTTTTTTTTTTTTGTACTCTTTTTTTTTTTTTTTTGTTTTTTGTTCTTTTTTGTTTCTTATTTTTTTTTTTATTTTTTTTTTTTGTTTTTTTTTTTTTTTTTTTCTATTTTCTGGACACCCAGGCACCCGGAGACCCGGGCACCCGGACACCCAGGCACCCG